TCTATTCCCTACCGCCTAGAAGGTTTAGTGGTGAAAGATAAGGATAATCAGTCAGTCAGTCAATAAGCATTTATTAAATGCCTACCATGTGCCCGGCACTGTGCTAAGATCTAGAGGAAACAAAAAAAACAGCAAAATACAGTCCATGCTCTCAAGGAACTCACAATCTAATGGGGGAGACAACTGCCGATAGCCAGGTACAAACAGGATACATACAGGATAAACTATAGATAATTAACAGAGGGAAAGCACCAGATCTTTGATTTCATTGGTATATGAGAAGTCCTCAGTGAGAAAACTCTCTCTACCAATGCAGCTCCTCCCCTTCTCTGGGGGCTGGCTCTTTATCCACAACATCACAGAATAGTAGCACTACTGCATACCCACTATGTGCCTTGCACTGTGATATACTTGATGGCTCTACGATCTCACCGACAAGAGTCCTTGTACCAGCTCTGCCAGCTGTAACCCACCCACTCCTTATCTTGGGAGCCTTGTCCATGTTTTCCCAAAATCATCTACTGAGGCTTCATCTATTGTTTGGGGACCTTCTTCCAGATGTGTTGACATTATGTGGCATACCCACTCTCTTTTACCACTTGCTCTCCATACATGACTGACCCATGTCCTTTGCTGGTTATACATCCATTTGGTGACATCTTTTATGCTGACTCTGTAGTGCAATTCTTCACTGGTAGTATTCTTGGGCCTCTTCATGCCTTCCATTTAGACTGACTTGACCTTTCTTGGCACTGGAGAATGCACTGCACAGATGTAAAGCAGGGTACAGACACAGGGTGTACATGGTCTGAGAGTTCTTCCTTCAAAGCTCTCCTTTTTAAGGCTCATCTAGGAGTAGAGGTGACCCAGAGATCTCAAAGGTCCTAAGAAATTGCTGGGAAGGCATCCAGTACAGTCTAGCAGGTATGGATTGGGTTTGTTTATCACCCTAGGACCAACCCATATAAGTTCAAAGAGGCTCCTCTCCAATGAGTTGGCCAAGAAACAAGTGATTTTTTTTTTCCTACCCGTAGCAGTTCTGGAAGACTGAGCACTAAGGGACAGAGGAGGAAGTGCTTATGCTGGAGGGAATAACCATATCAATGCAATTGCGGATGATTCAAAGCCCGAAGCATCATCAGTAACTTATATTTACAGCATACCCAAGTTAATGAATTTTCAAAGACAATAAAATACATGACTAGCAAACAACACTGAACACACTTGAATTTTTCCTCAATTTTCTGATAACCGTTCAGGATGCTGGGTCATGGGTCACTGTTACAGACTGTATGGATGCAGTCAAAAATCAGGATTATTTGAACTTTCTGGTAGATGTTCAGATTGTGCAAAGACAAGTGCTGACTATGTAGCATGTCTAAATCTGAGCTGCAGCCAATGTCATGATGACTACAGAGTTTCTTTGCTGACTGCTTGGGATGGATGTTGTTCAACACATGGTCAGGTAACTCACTGAGTTTTCTTTAGGGAGCTCCCTCCTCCTTGAGGTGACTATTGTGGTGATTCATAATTACCCTGGCTGGCAAATGTCTAGATTGAGTGTATCCTGCAGCATTTCTGATCAAAGCAAATCATTGTGGTTAAGGGATTATCAAACTGATGTGGCCATTAAACAGTTTTCAATTTAGATGGGCCATGTAGATTACCTGGAGGAGGTACCTGTGGAAATAGAATGGGACTTAGAAGACCTGAGTGCTATTCTGGTACTGCCACTTGCTGTGGGATGTTAGGTAAGTCACTGGGCAGCACAGCAGATAGAAAGCTGGGCTGGGAGTCAGGAAGACTTGAGTTCAAATGTGACCTCAGTTACTGTGTTAACCATAGGCAAGACTTTGCCTCAGTTTCCTCAACTGTAAAATTGAGTAACACCAACTCCCACAATTGCTAAGAGGATCAAATGGTATAAAGTACCTAGCACCTAGTAGACATCTAATAAATGCTCTTTTCCTTTATTCTCTGGGCTTCACTTTTCTCACATGCAAAATGGGAAATGAACTAGAGCTGGAAGGGTCCTCAGAGGTCCTCCCATGCAAAGCCCTTATTCTGTGGGTGAGCTTTGATCCAGTATTTGAATTCAGGTCCCATGACTCTGGAGCATCGAGGTGGCAGCTGTGGATAGAGAGTACTGGGCCTAGAGTCTGGAAGACTTTCCCTGAGTACCAATCTGGTCTCAAACACTTGTGACCCTGGGCAAGTCACTTAACCCTATTTGCCTCAGTTTCCTCATCTGTAAAATGCACTGAAGAATGAAGTTCCATTAAGTCCTATGATTTCAAGTTCAGTTGGAAAATTCAAGGATTCTTTATATTTCATGGCATTGATCTCTAGTTTTCTTCCAACTCTGATATTGTGTGATTACATTAAAAATACAAAAGCTAGGCATAGACTGTGCCTAACGGCAGGCTGGGTTTATTGGGTTGGTTTCTTGTCTGTTCCTTACAGTATGTGTGAACTTGAGCAAATCACTTCCAGTTCCTGGGCCGCATTTTCCCCCTCTGTAAAATGAGACAATGGTGCATCTAATCATGTGACCTGTAAAGTTTCTTCCTCTTTTTATTCTATGATCCTCTGAATGGCAGTTTTCTTAAAAACAAAATAAATAAAAATCACTTTTCTAAGGAGGTGTAAGAATAGGTTGAGCTCTAGGGCAGCTCACAGAAATTTTGTACCACCCTAGCTCAATCATTGAAAAATCAATGTCAAAAAAAAAAAAAAAAGAAAAAAGAAAGAAGGAAAGAAAGAAAGAAAAAGAAAAGAAAAGAAAAATAAGGGGCAGCTAGGCGGCGCAGTGAATAGAGCTCTGGCCTTGGAGTCAGGAGGACCTGAGTTCAAATGTAGCCTCAGACACTTAACACTAGCTATGTGACCCTGGGCAAGTCACTTAACCCCAATTGCCTCACCAAAAAGCAAAAAACAAAACAAAACAAAACAAAAAAAACGTCAGATTCCCTAACTTTCTGCCCAATTTCCTCCTCTGTCTGGGGCGGGGGAGAGGGGGCGGAGAGGCTGAAAAGGGAGGGAAGGTGTCTGTGCCTCTCTTTTTCATCAGTCCCTTTGTTGTCTATACATCCTGCACCCCCTTCACATCTTTTCCCCCTCCCCGTTGTCTAGTCATGGGGTCAAGTCCCAGGCTATATTACCCCAGACACCTCACTACTTTTTCTTTCTCTCAACCCTACTTCCTGGGGTACAGGCCCTCATTGTATCCAAACATCAGAATTAAAAGTACATCGAAAAGACGAATTACAAAGTACCCCTCTTCTACCGCATCCCCCCACCCCTCCCCGTATTAAAGAGTTTTTCTCAAGCAAGCTCCAAGGGCACAAACTTTTTTGTTTTGTTTTGCTTTGCAAACGTTCATGTCTTAGGCAAATGACCCCGGCTGCCCAGAGCAAATCAACTCAGAGCCCGCGCGTCTCCGGCCCTAGGCTCTTTTGCATGTCTGGGAGCTGGCAAGAGCCGGGGCATCAGCCGAGGCGCCTGGGACTTGTAGTCGGCTGCGAGAGTTGGCTTGTCCGGCTCGCCGACGGTGCTCCCTGAGCCAGGCGCTTGGCGGTCCGCGTCCGCTCGGCCTGGGGTAGCGAAGCGGGGTTATGGAGAGGTTGGTGGTCCGGGAATCTCACCATGTCACCTACAGGCCCGCGCCTACGCCCGGGTTTCGCGCTGATTGTAGCAGGCAAAGCATTTGCAAATTACCTCATCCATATCCCTGACGCAGAACATAACTCGCATTTCAAAAGCAATTTAAGGTTTACATAGTCCTTACCGTGACATAGTCAATGCAAACTCTTCCTTCCTTCCTTCCTTCCTTCCTTCCTTCCTTCCTTCCTTCCTCTTTCCTTCTTATATTGAGCATTAGGGCTGTGTATGTGTATCACCTCTCTCTCTTTCTGTATCTATCTGTGTATGTGTATCACCTTCCTTTCTCTTCTTTCTGCATTAGAGCCATGTATGTCTATATTCTTTTTCTTTTGTTCTTATATCATTAGAACATCTCTTTCTCTTTCTTTCTTTCTTTCTTCCTTCCTTCTTCCCTTCCTTCTTTCCCTTCCTTCCTTTCTTCTTTCCTTCCTTCCTTCCTTCCTTCCTTCCTTCCTTCCTTCCTTCCTTCCTTCCTTCCTTCCTTCTTTTTTCTTCTATCATGAGTATCTTTCATCTGTGTATGTCGGATAAGGCTCTTCATTTTAACTTGGACTAAGAAGACCCGAGTTCCAGGCCTATTTCTGCTACTTGTAATCCGCTAGTTATACAAGATGTTCCAAAAATGCACTAAGACTTTTGGGTCACCCTCTGTGCTTCAGTTTCCTTCTCTGTAAAACGAAGGTGTCTGACTGAGGAGAAGATCTCTGACGCCCCTTACAATGCTAAATTCTGACTCCAAATTTGGGAAATCCCTTCCTTTGGGAAGGGGGGTCTCTTCCACTTCCCCGCAGACTTTTATTTTTCATTCATCACTTGCACCGGATCCGGACCTGCAAAAATCTCGCCTTTACCTTGTGTCCTAGAGAGCCGGGTTCTCTGGACCGGCTTAGGTTGGGTTGGACAGGACAGGGAGGGCAGGGCAGGGCTGGGCTGGGTCAGGGACTACGTTTCCCAGCGATCGCCGCGCCCAGGGGCGGGCTGGAGGCGGGACGAGGGCGGGTCCGAGGGCGGGAGGGGGGCGGTGCTGCCTACAAAGAGCCGGGGCTGCAGCCGGGGTGGAGATTCCCCAGCGGCTCGAGGTCTGTGTGGGAGGGTTGCGCCGGTGCCTGGGGCTTCTGTCGTCTCTTCCTTGCTGTGCACGCCTGGGGCCCCTTGCACCACCTGCTTCTCACCTCCCTGATGCGCTGAACTTGGAGCAAACAGTCTGATTTTCCCTGCATCTTGAACAGGAAGGAGACCCACTTCGGGGGATCACTTTTTTTGGGGGAAGGGGGTGGTGGGCGCGCACGCCTCGCCCGAGCGCGGCTTCCCTGGGGCCCCCGGGCTCCGTCTGCCCGCGCGGCCCCGGCGCGGATGCTCCTGCAACAGGCGCCGTGCTCGCTGAGCAGCGGGCGGCCCCCCGCCGGCACCATGCACACCCTCCAGAAGGATACCACGTTCACCAAGATCTTCGTCGGGGGGCTGCCCTACCACACCACTGACTCCTCCTTAAGGAAGTACTTCGAGGGCTTCGGGGACATCGAGGAGGCTGTGGTCATCACCGACCGCCAGACGGGCAAATCCCGGGGCTATGGCTTTGTAAGTGACCCCGCACCCCGGCTGGGCACCAAGTTCTCCCCTCCCTCCCCCACCCCCCGCCTCCTTTGGAAGCCGAAAACTTTAGGGGTTGGAAGTGATCAAGCTGTCTGCTGGTTCTCCCCATCCCGACCTCCCCGGTCGCACGTGTCTTTCCTCTAGGGTTGAACTCTAGAAGGTTTTTAAATAAGTTAATTAATACATTTGTATTCTCTGCCATTTGCCAGGGTGTTGGGATCCTCGTCATAGTACCTGTCATCAGAACTGGGCCTCCCAGTCTCTCTCTCTCCTCCTACTTTACTCCCCCACCCCCCTTCCCCCCTTCTTCTCCCCTTCTCTTCCCTCCCCCACCATCTTATCTGCAACCTTTCAGCTGGAGTTGCTGTTTGCGTCTGTGTAAACTAGCGAGCCGTTCAGTCCTCCATCTCTGAACTCGGCTCAGACTCCAGCTTTTCAACCGTCCCCTCCTCCCACTCCCCCCGCCCCCCATGGTGCCTGTTTCCCACTGAGCACATGCATAGCCCAACCACTAGGCACACTGAGACCCTCCCTGTGGCTCCTTATCCGGAGAGCACAGCTCTGGGTTTGAGTATCTTCCCTGGTTCCCTGCACCTGCAGGTGGCTCACAGCACACTTTCATTTCAGAACTCAAGACTTGGAGGAGAAAGTTTAAAAAAAAAAAAGTTTATGTGTAGTCTCCCCTAATTCTTCAAGAGGCCCTTGGAGAGAAAGGGGAGAGTTGTCACCTCTATGTTGTCTACTCCAGTGTTGTCTCCTAGAGAACCTGAAAATGAAAGGACTCCGTGTTCAAGTTTATCCCTGATTCCTAAGCTTGCCTCCTAAGTGTTGTGTGACCTCATGTTTTGCTAGCAAGCCTGTGCCTCCCAGTGGGAGAAGGTAGGGAGACTTGGTGGGATGGAGTAGCCTCTGCCTTGAGTCTGGAGCCCTCTGCTTGACCGACTTCTCACTTGTTATTTGTGATGTGAAAGTTCCAGATCTACCTAAAAGTCTTGCCCCACTGGTGCTTTTTGCTAGATAACCAGCAAAGGTGCTTTGTTGCCATTGTTGTTATCCCTCTTTGAGTGAGGGTTTTTGTTTTTGTTTTTTGCACTGTGGGCTATGCTCAGTGGCGGTGAGGAAGGTCAGAGGAGCTGTCCCAGTGGGCATTGGGTAAAGCTGATGTGGAAGGGAAAAACACCCTGAGTTCCCTTTGGAGTGAGCTTCCTCCTTCCTTGCTTACTCATTCCACTTGAGAGTGAGTATTAAGATGGGAAGACTAAGTTTATAGTACAGAAAGACCCTCTGGGGGAAGGACCCTTGAGAACTCATGTGCTTCATTCTAGGTTACAATGGCAGACCGGGCTGCAGCAGAGAGAGCTTGTAAAGACCCCAACCCCATCATAGATGGCCGGAAAGCAAATGTTAATTTGGCGTACCTGGGAGCCAAGCCAAGGAGTATTCACACCGGTGAGAGCAACAACCTTGGTTTGTTTTTTTCCTCCATCTTTTCTCTCCTCACATTACTATATTCAGCATGCTTGTCGATGGTGGAGTACAAAATGCATGTTCATCAGCCCTGCCTCATCCTGTCGTTGAACAAGCTGTTGTTGGTTATTAAGTATTCCCCAAAGTCAGAGAGGCCAGTCATCACTTTGGCATTGGTGCTCAGGTCAGAGTTAGGAATTCAGTTTGAAAGAGGTGAGCCGCACATCTAGGAAGGGCCCACTGGGGCCAGAACAAAACTTGAACCAGAGATACAATGGCAGTTCTTTTAGGGGAGCAGCATGAAAGAAGGCTGAATGAGGAGTCCAGAGATCTAAATTCTGTAGGTCAGTTCTCTGGGTCTTAGTTTCCCTAACAATTAAAAAGGGAAAAATAATTCCCCTGCCAGCTCCATGGGGCAGAATGTGGTATAGAAATGTGAGTGATTGCTGTTATTGTCCTCCAGAGCTGTGTCACTTCCTCTAGAAAACCAAAAGAGAAAGGAGAGAGAATTTTTATACCTACCTCTGCAACTAAATAGTGAGTGTGGCCAGCTCTGCCTAGAGAATTGTGACTGGATTGGGACCTTCTCTGGATCCCTTTTTTGAGCTGAGAGATGCATGTTAAAAAATGACTCAGGCATATGACAGCTTACACTTTAATCTAGTGGGTATGTATACATGTGCAAACAACCCATTAATCGCCCTCATTATTTCCTCTTACACTTCCAACATTTTGTTTTTTTAGGTTTTACAGTTGGTGTTCAGCAGTTGCACCCTGCTTTTATCCAGAGGTCTTATGGGTAAGTGAATATGGTTTTTAATGAGGTTGGGGGGGATGGGAGGAGAGAATAATTCTTGGAGGATAGGAACAAGTCCATTGGCTTCTTGTTTTTTTTTTTGTTTGTTTGTTTGTTTGTTTTAAAGAAGGCAGCAATCCATTTGTCCTAAAATTCTCCAGCCTAAATAGTACATTTGTATTCTGGCTTTACTGTGATTCGAAAGCCATGTACTCTCATTTGATTCATAAACTACCTTATTCTCTCTACAAAAGAAATAAGACCATTTTCTCAAGGATTCAGAAACTTGAAACTATGAGAAGTAGGGAGGAAAAACCCAGGCAGAGCCCAAGGCCATGAAAATAGAGTCCTTCATGGTCAGAAGTGCCACTTGCATGTGTGACCGAAGGCTGGCCACACCCCCAGAGTCATTTTAGGGCAGCCCAGCACAGGTTCTCATGCTCAGGGAGATGACAGACTCCACGTAAAGCCAAGGCTGATAGCAAATGAAAGAAACATTAGGTCAAAAATTGATTTTGGCCAGATGTTATACAGAGACCGAATCCCTAGTGCAAGGGGGCCTATTGTCTTCCCCCTTTCAATAGCGGATCTCATCCCTGCTCAGCCCTCATTCTGTACATCTAATAGGGTCTGGCAGCTGTTCGGAAAAAAGGACGAGTGTACTTCAAGAGAATAATAGACCCTGTCATACCACTTTCATTCAAGTGCCCAATGATTGATGTAGGTCTCTTTGTACCATTGCAGAAAGAGAATATTGATAGGGGTTTTCTTTTTTGAGGGATGTTGGTTGGGGGGGGTGTCAAGGCTTACAGAGCAGGATAGGCCCTTTTTTTGGTGAGCACTAGGTTACCTTTCTCTAATTGAGTCCCTGTATCATCTCCTTGGAAAAATAGTTGACATTCCAGTTCTGTTGAATCGGGGGTGCTCATATTAGGTCATATTGGGAAGAAGAGTTCATCAAGTTTAGTTGGTACCTGAACTGAGACCTCTTTCATAGCTTCTGCTTGAAGACTTTTTGTAACAGGGAGCTCATTACATCTTCCTTCTAGAGCATAGTATTATATGCTGCCCCAGGGCATGTATGCCATATGTTATATACCACCCCTGGCATATAATACTTACAACGGTCTAGAAAGGAAATAGGTTGGATGGAGGGGACTGGGGGTCAAGACAATGCTAGATTGTGGAAGGAGGCCTAGACCTTCGATCAGGATTTCAGTCTGGCCCAACTGGTGAGTCACTTAATCTCTAAACCTCAGTTTCCTGATCTGTAAAGTAGGGGACAATAATTCTTTCCCTACCTATCTCCCAGGGCTATTATGAGGATTAAAAGAGGGGAAGGATGTGAAAGTGCTGGTCCAGTGTGAGGGATTGTTATTATGAATTGGAGGGGAGGCTGAGGGAGCCACCAAATGCTTTTCATTATATGTAATCCAGGCAGAAAGCCCTTTCTTTGCTCCTCTGTGTTTCTGATCATGGCAGCCTAGGCTCACAGTTCTGTCCTTAGGTAACCAAGGGTAGAAAAAGTAGGTGACAGATTTAACCCTGTGTACTTGTACAGGTGACTGTTGATAGGTTTTTGTTTCTGTCCTCCGGCACCGGCATTTTGTTACTAATTCATAGGCAGTTGCTGTTTGCTGCATATGACAACGTGGACTCTAAATTATATATTAGTTGCCAAGGGACAATAAGGAGAGGAGTGAATTTGAAGAGGAGGATTGAGCATCTAGTAGGTAGGTGGATGGGGAATCAGCTGGCTCTGTATTTGCAAGGATCAGTAAACTCAGGAACTGGGCTGCCTTCTGCTCTGGTGGTTTTCTCAGTCGCTGAAAGTACAGTCAGCTAGAGGGGGGAGAGGGAGAGTGTGTGTGTCTGTCCGTGTGACCCTGAGCTGCTAATAGCTCCAGGCTCGGTTTCCTAGGCAAGCGGTCAGGTGTTTGCTTGCTGAGCCTGAAGAGTTCGGCCGTCAGCGCCCTTTTTGTCTTTGCCCAAACAATTGGGGAAAGGGAAGCAGTCTGACTCAGCTTTGCTTTTGTCTGCCTGGAAAAGCCAAACACAGAACGAGGAGGTCTGATAATTTGGTGATTGGTGTGGGGGTGAGGAGTGGCTTGGCATCGGGGCAGTCTGGGCTGCCCTGCCGGCAAGTGAATCAGCCGCCCCCAGCTGCCCCTTGCACCGGGTTCCTCTCCGATAAACTTTTCAGGCTCTCTCCTGAGTTAAGTAGAACACATTAATAATACTTTTCAGAGAATCCTCGGATTTTTTTTTAAAAGACTCTAGTGCTGTTTTTTTTGTTGTACGGGTGTGGGTCAGTTCATTTCATGAACATTTATTAAGCATCTATTATATGTGTATATAGGGTGCACATATATGGGGGGTACATATGTAAAAATATATATGTCGTATGTTTGTACATACACAAATTAGTGTTCAAAGACAAAACAAACAAAAAACAAAACTTCTACTCTCAATGAGCTTCTTATGGGGTAGGGAATAACCATCTATATGGTGCCTACTATGTGCCAGGCACTGTACTAAGTGCTTTTTGCAAATATTATCTCATTTGCTCCTCATACCAACCCTGGGAGGTAGATGCTATTATTTTCTCCATTTTATAGTTGAGGAAACTGAGGCAAACAGATATTAAGTGACTTGCTCAGGGTCACACTGTTAGTGAGTATCTGAGGCAGGGTTTGAACTCAGGTCTTTCTAACCCTGGTCCAGTGTTTTATCCACTGAGACACCAGATCCCTCTAATAAAGAGATGTAACTTTAGAGAGTCAGTATAGTATGGAAGAAATGATGGTGGCTTTGGAGTCAGAGGATCTGGAAATAAATGTAGTCAAAGTAACATAAGAAAATTGGAGGAAAGAGGGAGCAGTAACAAGTAGAATCAGAGAAGGCTTCTCGGAAGAGGGTGGCATTTGAGTAGAACTCAAGGAAAAGTCAGTTTCTGAAAGTTGGCAATGAGAGGGTACATTTCTAGGCACTGGGGACAGCTTTTATCAAGCTGTGGAGGCAGGAGATGGTGTCATGAGTTCAGTGACTAGCTAGTAGTCCAGTTTGCCTCAGAGTCTGCAAAGGGAAAGAATGTGAAATAAGGTTGGAGCTAGGTAAAAGTTTATACTTATGCATATACACGCTGCCTTTCCCCCCAAATAGGATGTTAGCTCCATGAGGACAGGGACTATTTCATTTTTGTTTTTATAACTCCCATGCTTCACATAGATGCTTGTTGATCGATTGATTCTACAGGTCCTTTTAAAAATTAAATTTTCTTTTTTTCAGTTAACTAGAATTCCCCTTCTTACCCTTTCCCCTTCCCCACCTCCCCCATTGAAAAAGAAAGAAAAGCAAAGCCCTTCTAACAGATATGTCTAGTTAAGCAGTATATACTCCCCCCCATTGTCCAAAAAATATGTCTCTCCCTGCACTCTGAGTCAGTTGCCTCTGATAGGAAGTGCTTTAAGCCCGTGTGTGTAAGCACACAAGCTGCCCATCTGTTATCTTTTATTCTCACTTCATGACCAGCCTGCCTCCTTTTCTGATCATATATTTCTTGAATGATATTTCTTTTTTTTCTGACTTTATATTTTTAACTTTATTAATTTATTTTGATTTATCAACAATCATTTCCATAAGCTTTTGAGTTTTACATTTTTCTTACCCTCCCTCCCTCCCCCCCTCCCCAAAACGGCTCGCAATCTGATATAGGCTATACATATACATTCCTGTTGAACATATTTTCACGTTAGTCATGTTGTAAGTAAGAATTAGAACCAATAGGAGGAACCACCAGAAAGAGAAAACAAAATAAAACAGAAGAAAAAAATAGCAAATAGTATGCTTCGATCTGCATTCGAACTCCATAGTTCGTTCTTTGGATGTGGATAGCATTTTCCATCATGAGGCCTTTGGAGGTGTCTTAGATCCTTGCATTGCTGAGAAGGGTTAAGTCTATTAGTCTTCACATAAAATGGCTGTTACTGTGTACAACGTTCTCCCAGTTCTTGAATGATATTTCTTATACCACTTGTTCATAAGTCATTGTATTATGGCTATAGGTAGTTATAATAAAAAAATACATAAGTACATCAAGGAGGTATAAACCTTGGCAAAGTGTTATTATCTAGAGTAGGGATTCTTAACCTGGATTCAGAGGGTCCATGAACTTGAATGGGGGTTGGGTTGAGAATTACATCTTTATTTTCACTGATCTCTAACTGAAATGGAAACTGAGACACATGCATTTATTAAGCACTTACTATGTGCCAGGCACAAAGTGCTAGGGATAAAGAAACATTGCAAAAATAAAGCTAAGCCCTACCCTCCAGGAGCTTACAATCTAATGAGGGAAGACAACACATACAAAAGGGAGCTGGGGGTCAGGGGAGGAACTGAGGAGGCAAAAGTACCTGGTGAATTTTGAAGTATGGAAAGTCATAATGAAGGTTGGCTGGCATGTGCCCCAGGAGGAACACACCAATGGGAGAAGGGGGCTGGCAGAGCTGAAAGGATTCCAGGGTGAAAAAGCTTAAGGGACTGATGGATTTCCAGAGTGAGATTGTAGATGAAGCATGGTGTCCAGAATGAAGGGCAATGAAGATTGCTTGTCCTTGGACCCTCCCTAAAAAAGGAGGCCTTAGGAGGAGCTTGTCTGTGGGAGAGGGGGGCTGCAGGCATAGCAGAAGAAAATGTAGCATTCAATTATGATTTCTTTTAAAATTTCTTTTAAATTTAAATTAAATTTCGTTAATTTAAATTAAATTTAAAAATTAAATTTCTTTTAAAAAGAAAAACAGTTCTTTAAAAAAAATTCTTTTAAAAAAATCACAAATATTTATAGATAAGTTTTACCAGATGCATTCTCTCCTCCCCTGCAAAGGTTAAGAATTCTTCCTCTGTTAAAGGCATCAAGGAAGGTTTACTGTAGAAGGTGATAAAAGTTGGGTAGGAATTAATAGGATAGGTGATCTCTTTACAACAGAAAAAAAAATCTGTTT